AGGTACTATAGCGTAATGAGTCCTGAGTGCTGTCCCACACAGCAAATAAAAGGAGGGGGATATCCTCATCCCAGTCCTTCTGGTACTGGGCACAATAAACCCGCAGCATAGTTTTGAGAGACTGGTGAAACTGCTCCACAACCCCTTGACTCTCTGGGTGATAGGCGGTGGAGGTCGTCATTTTAATGTTAAACTCCCCCAAAACCATGCGAAAATGTTTAGATATAAAATTTGACCCCTGATCTGTTTGAATTTCCTTAGGGATCCCAACCTGCGTAAAAAATTTCACCAATGCTCTCAAGACCACGCGTGTTGTAATTTTACGTAGTGGAATGGCCTCCGGAAACCTGGTAGAGGAACAAATAATAGTAAGTAAGTACTGGTTTCCCATCTTGGTCCTGGGTAGTGGCCCCACACAATCCACCACTAGCCTGCTAAAAGGTTCTCCGGCTATTGTAATAGGGTTAAGAGGGGCAGGTTTAATTCCATGATTAGGTTTTCCTACCCTTTGGCAAACTGGGCATGATTCTACATACCTACCCACTGATTCCCATACCTGGGGCCAGTAAAAATGTTTAGAAATCTTGCCCATAGTCTTTTTAACACCTAAATGTCCTCCCATGGGAACATCGTGGGCCAAACACAAAACCTGATACCTAAATGGTTCTGGTATCACCACTTGGTAGAGTGCCTGCCTTGCTCCATCATTAGATGTTGCATCCGATAGGGTCTTTCGCATCAAAATACCATCTGCAAAAAAGAAACATTTAGTTAGTTGAGAGGCCTCTTCCTCAGTAACAGCAGATGACCGAATAGCTTTTAGGGTGTCGTCACACCCCTGGGCCTCGATCAGCTGCTCTCGAGTAGGAGTTGCCTCCCCCTATACCAGCTCCAAGACCCCCACTCAAACAGGGTCCTGCCTGGGATGGTTCATCACAACCCCGAACCAACTGCAGGCTAGGCTAGAGGAATAGATTTCCCAAACCCAAATCATCCCCAGGATCTAAAGAGTCACAGAGAGAGACTGCCCTCTTATCTTTGGACATTTTCCTGGTTACTGCACACAACGGAAATAACTCGGGCAAGGTAGCCCTAGCTTTTTCCTCCCAACTCTGTGAGGCTGGGTCCCTCCAAACCAGAGGTTCCTCACTTTCAAGACAACCCATGACATTATTGCCTAAGAGTAAGTCAACACCTGCACAAGGTATATCCTCTGTGATACCTACAGCTAAGTAACCACACTGGTATGAAGACTCCACCCATAATCTGTGCACTGGAGTCTTGACAGTGAATCCGGTAATTCCTTTGAGCAGAACGTCTAACTCAGTGTATGTGTCATCCGACACTGGCAGGATGCCCTTACGAAGCAAGATGTACGTGCTACCAGTGTCCCTCAAAGACATAACACCTGTTACCCTACCTTCATTTTGGTGTAAGGCCACGGTGGACTTGCTTGTAAGACCTTCATCCGATGGTCCAAAACTGCTGAGTTACCTGATATACCCGGAGGTGGTGCTTCAATATTAGCTACCGTATGGGTACCTGGTGTATCTACCTGAGAAACTCCATCAAGAGCCTGATCTCTACGCATCTTCTTGCAATACGGCTGCAGATGGCCCTGTTTATGACAATAAGTACAGTAATAGGGTTTAAAGGCCCCCTGCCTATTTGACCTAGGTTGGATCCCTTGATCTTGGGGAACTGGACTCTTTTTACCTGCCCCCGGTAGTCCTGGACCTGTGACAAATGACTTAAAACCTTCTCGGGTAGGTACTGGAAAATTAGGCTTATTAAAACTCTGGTGATTATTAGGCTGATAAATGGGTGGCTTAAACTTCTGAAATTTCTTATTCCTATTGGTGGGTGGAGAAAACTCACCATTATTAGTATGTGGGGTGTGGTAATTACTACCAAATTTTTGGTTAGCTAAAAATCTGTCACCCAGCTCTAAAGCATTATTAAAATCATTAAGATCCTTCTCCTCAAGATATGCCTTAAGGTCAGGAGGAACATTTCTCAAAAGATCCTCTAACAAAATTAAGGTAATTACACCTTCATAATTGCCTACCATCCCCTTTGAGCGACAGCACCTATTTAAAAGTGACATCTTCTCCTTATCATATTCCACCAAAGACTGCCCTGACTGAAACTTTAGTCCTCTAAACTTTTGCTGGTACCTTTCCGGCAACATAAGCTACCTTTTCAGCTTATGATAATCAGAAAAGGCCGATCCTTCTAAAGAACTAATGGCCTGTAACCCTTTACCAACTAATTGGGTTATTGCTAATGTTGCCCATTCCTTTTCCGGCCAAATTTGGGATTTGGCCGTACTTTCAAATAACAGAAAAAACTGGTCTGGATCTTTCTCTAGGAATTTGGACACAAATTTTATGGCTTTATCCAAATGAAAAACATCTACCCTCTTGTCTGTAGCTGGGTGAGAAGCAAGTTGATTCTCTTTATCTCTTTCTTGAGCCCTAAGCTCCTCTAAGGCTCTGTTCTTGGATCTTTGTACGTTCAATCCTTAACCATTCCTTTTCTTCCGCAACTAGGGCTAATTTCATTCGTAAAATTTCTACTTCCTTATCCAGGTCCCTAACATGGAAATTTGATTCAATGTCACCTTCCAAATACATGTCATCCCCAGAATTTTCACTAGTGTCAGACATTTTGGGAAACAATAGCACCAAATTAATATAGGTCAAGATTGACTTGTGGATATGACAGTAGTAGGTATCGAAGGGGGACATTTTTTGTGACCTAGATGTCCTAAAATTCCTACTTGTCTCTGTAACTTTGATAAAAAATAATTATCTTTGTTACCATTTACTGGTATGTATCTTATGAGTTACATCCAGGTAAATTTAATTTTCCACAATGTTGTTGCCACTGAGAGCTTGCACCCGAATATCATCGGTAAGTATATTGAATTAGATCATTATACTTGATACTCAAATTGTTCTGAAAAAGTTTATATTGCTTGCTCAAAAGTATTTATAAACACTGTACGCCACTTACCAATATACAGCCTCCACATTTTATTGACCACATCACCAGAGATCCCAAGTAATTTCTGGGTATTTTCAGTTGTCCGTCCTGTGTAGAGAATCGAAAACAGTACCACTGTCGTCATCACAAAAGATAAGCAATTTGATAACAAAGCGATTTTATTTACATGGTAAGTACTGTTCTAAAGACATTCGTCTCTTTATTAATATCAGACTTGTCAGTCACAATGTTTTAGAACCAATAAAAAAAATCACAAAATTTGTTTTTCAAATACATGGAAACTTCCCTTATGATAAACATACCATTTTTCTCAGGATTAATCTTCTCAGAGTAATGCAACATATGCATAAGCAAGAGGAATAACTATCTAAGAATAAGGTCACCAAAACTTGGAGTTCAGTATTTAGCAATGTTGCTCTTATGTGCAAGTGGTATGACCATAATTGCAAAAAAAAAAAAAACACGTTTTTGTCACATTGGTGTCCTTTAACTCATGCAGGTGCGATAGTATTGAAACATTTGAGTTTGCCATTTATACATGTTAAATGAATTTGTTTACCACACAAGAGTCCGAGGTTACATTACAATATGGTTCTATTCCACTGTTTATGTCATTAAATGTGGAGTATTCCTGCAAATTCCATGTGTGGTCTGGCAGTGTTTTCCGTGGTGGTGAAGTACTTGGCAACTGTGCACTGGGTATAGCACTTGGCACACTTCTCCAGCTTGTACTTCACTTTATATTGTATGTGTACAGGTAATGAGAATTCAGTCGGATGAGGACCAGAAAGGTCTACAAAGGGGTCTGGACAGGCTGCAAGGCTGGTCCAGAAATTGGCTCCTAAAGTTTATCCCCCACCAAGTGCAAAGTCATGATGATCGGGGAAGGACATAGAAGACAGCGGACAGAGTACAGTTTAGGGGCCAAAGACTGCAAACCTCACTCAAGGAAAAGGACCTAGGGGTGAATATTATACCTAGCACATCTCCTGAAGTGCACATCAACCAAATAAATGCTGCAGTATTTGGACAATTAGCAAACCGAAGAATAGCATTCTGGCACCTCAGTAAAGAATTATTCAGGACTCTGTACATAGTGTATGTCAGGTCTATTCTTGAATATGCAGCAGCAGTCTGGAACCCACACCTAGTCAAGCACGTCAAGAAATTAAAGAAAGTGAAGAGGTTTGTAAAGCAACTAGTCCCGGAACTGAGGGAAATGTCCTACAAGAAAAGGTTAAGGGAAATCAACCTGACGACACTGGAGGACAGGAGGGAGAGGGGAGGAAATGATAACATATAAAATGTTGAGAGGAGTTAACAACGTGGACAGAGATATGATGTTCCAGAGATGGGACACAGTAACAAGGGGTCACACTTGGAAGTTGAAGACTTAGGAGAATCACAGGGATGTTAGGAAGTATTTCTTCAGTCACAGAGTTGTCGGAAAGAGGAATAGTATAGAGAATGATGTAGTGGTGGCAGGATCCATACAAAGCTTAAGAAGAGGTACGATAAATCTCCTGGAGCAATGAGTTGACCTAGTACCCCCAGCGAAGTGGCAGGGCCAGGAGCTGTAAATCGACCCCTGCAACCGCAATTAGGTGAGTACGCACACTATCGACAAGTATCTTTGACAACAAGTAACTAAGATTAATTATTTAATATTTAACCTTTCTAATTTATTTAATACAGATTGCGCAATAAGAATTCCCTTATATAATGAACATAGTCATTTTAATTTTAAAAATAAAACATAGGAAAAAGATCAGTATCGGTCGAAAATTGGGTATCAGTATCAAAGTTTTGGTGTCGTCCCATTCCTTGTTTTAATAGGAGATTTATATTTTTTGCAATACTTTTTGTCCCTTTGGTAATAAACATTTTTAAGCACGAAAAGGTTTACAGTGATATAGTTTACCAGATGTAAATTGCAAGACAGAAATATTCATGAACTTGCAGTGACTGTTTCATTCCCTCTTTTTTTTCAGCTGTAGAGTTTATTGGCGTTAAATGGCGCACATTTTGTGGGATTATCATTCAAATATCATTTGCACTTGGTGAAGCTATGACTGGAGTGTTGGCTGTCTTCATCAGGGACTGGCGTTGGCTGCAAGTTGCTGTCACTGCTCCTGCTCTTCTGCTTATATCTTTTAATTGGTATGTACAGTTTGTACATGTACCATTTGCAATCACTACAGTTACTTCTGCTTTCCATCTTATATGTTACACATTTGATATATACAGTTTGTGTATGAATTAGTCAGTGAATGAATTAAATACTGTATGAAATAGTGTATTAATTTTGGTATTAGGTATCTCTAATGAGGCGTCTAAAATTTTTTTAGACGATTTTGTTTCTTTTTGGTGCACCTTGAGAAGCAATTATTTAATGAACTGTGACAAAGTTTCAATAAGATCAGCCAACAAACAAATGAGAGAAAAAAATATTTACTGAGTATGGCACTTGGCAGCACGAAACTTCATAGTGGCACTGCAAGTGACTCGGCTGGCACTCCTGGCTAATAGAACATGCAATATACCTTGTCTTCAGGCCGAAAAAAAATACATTTGGTATGCTTTTGACATTCCCCCTCCAAAAAAAAAAAAAAATATTTGAGATTTTCCAAATGTCTGTACTTTAGAAATTCAAACACACATTATTTGTTTATTTATTTATTTATTTATGTTTATTTGGACATGATACATGGTTGTACAAGGAATTATAGTAGTTGGATGTATATGCCAAAAGCCCCTTGTATGCAGAGCATTATAGGCAGGCTTAAATTAACTTAAGATTAACTAAGCAATGATAGACTCGTTGGTAAAAAATTACAGTAAACAATTTATAATATGAAGTACAATTGAGTATTGTAAACAATGAAATTTGAACATTTCAATTATGAAGCATTATAGTTGTACAATTAAAAACATAGTTTGATGAAGTCACGGGTTTTACAACTATGAAATACAGTTATTCAATATTTTTTTAGTTGCGGGTGAGTGTTTTTTAAGAAGAGTCTTGAATTGAAAAACAGTGTTTCTTTTGTATTCACAGGTAATGAATTCCAAATTTTTGGGCCTTTTATATGCATTGAGTTTTTACATAGTGTGAGATGGACACGGGGAACATCAGAGAGTGATCTGTGCCTTGTGTTATGGTCATCTGTTCTGTTGAGGTTGGTAAGGAGAAGTTTGAGGGGAGGGTTTATATCTGAGTTTAGTATTCTATGCATGTAGTAGGCACAATAATAATTATGGATGTTTTGTACAGTGAGTAAGTTTAGAGTTTTGAATATTGGTAGAATATGCTGTCTGCAGGGGGAATTTGTTATTCTGACTACAGCCTTTTGTTGGGTAATTAATGGTTCGAGATGATTTATTGTTGTTGAGCCTCATGCACAGATTCCACAGGTGAGACAGGGGTAAATGAGTGAGTGAAATAGGGCAAGGAGAGCTGATTGTGGGACATTGTACCGTATCTTCGATAATATGCCTATGGTCTTGGAGACTTTCTTGGAAATTTGTTGTACATTTGTTTGGAATTTGAGCCTGTTATCAAGGTGGATTCCTAAGAATTTACCCTTTGTGGGCTTTGTGATAGGTGAACCGTTAATCATTATGTTAAGTGGAACATCTGTAGTTCTGTTCCCAAACTGAATGAAGTAGGTTTTGTTAATATTGAGAGTAAGCTTGTTAATCATCATCCAGGTAGATATTTTCTGTAATTCAGAATTTACAGTTTTGGCTAGCATGACTGGGCTTGGGTGAGAGAAGACATATGTAGTGTCATCTGCAAATAATATGGGTTTGAGTAGTTGAGATGTATTTGGTAGGTCGTTTATGTAAATGAGAAAGAGAAGAGGGCCAAGGACACTTCCCTGTTTGACACCAACTGTAATTGGTTGTGTGGAAGAGTTTGCTCCATTTTTGTACAAATATTGGCTTCTGTTGCTAAGACATGACTTTAGGGAGTTGAGGGAGTGCCCTCTTATACCATAGTGTGATAATTTTATGTGTAACAAATCATGTTCAACTATATCAAAAGCTTTACGTAAATCAATGAAGATTCCCAATGGGACTTCTTTTTTCTCGAGTGCGGTGTCTATTGCTTCAAGCATGTTTATAATGGCATCATTCGTATTTTTATTAGCCTTGAGCGCAAACTGACAGGGGTTGAGTATGTTGTGGGAGATGAGGTAGGAATATATTAGCTTATGAATTAATTTTTCAAAGATTTTAGAGAGAAGGGGTAAGTTGGATATTGGCCTATAGTTATTCAAGTCTGCTTGATCTCCCCCTTCATGTATCGGGGTGACCCTCGCTATTTTGAGAACTGTGAGGAAGGTAGAGGATTCGATGGATTTGTTATAGAGTGTTGCAATAATTGGTGACAGTACTTGTGAAGCTTTTTTGTATATAAAGGGTGGTAATGTATTTAAATTTCCTGCCTTGTTCTTTAGTGTGTTGATAATAAGTAAGACTTCGATTGGGTTGGTTGGAGCTAGGAACAGTGTGTTCGGGTAGGTGCCAGTGAGGTAGTCATTAGGTGGGGTGTTTGAGCTTGGGATTTTACTCGCCAGGTTTTTTCCTGTTGTGGAGAAGAAAACATTGAATCTGCTGTTTCAGTCAGTGGGAGTGGGAGTTCATCTGGTTTTGTTAGTCTGATTGTTTTGTTTCCTGGTATCTTTTTTGTTCCTAGAATTTCAGATAGGGTTTTCCAGGTCTTTTTTATATCACCTTTTAAGTTGGATAATCTGTTCTCGTAATACAATTTTTTTGCCCTTCTTATCAGGTTGGATAGGATTGACGATTAATGTTTTGTTTGGTCCCTGGTTATTTGACCCATTCTGTATTGTTTTTTATATAGGTGCTTTATATTAATGGATTTGAGGATGCTGGGTGTTAGCCAGGGACTGTTCAATCTCTTAGCTGTGATCTGTTTAGTTTTTTTTTAGGGCAGTGCTTGTTATAGAGGTATTGGGTCTTTTTTAGAAAATTATTAATGCATTCATCAGTATATGTATAGATTTCTAGCTCTGTTTGCCAGTTGATGTTTGTCATTGCTGTTATGATGTTATTAATGGCTGTCTCATTATGAAGTTTGAAGGTAACTTTAGTAGTGTCTTGGGGTAATTTACCTAGATTGGTTATGAGAAAGGTAGGGTAGTGGTCTGTGGTGTTATCTGTGATTACTGATTTTAAAGGGGATATGGTGTTGGTCCAAATGTCGTCCAATAGGGAAACACTAGTCTCGGAGATTCTTGTAGGTTTTGTTACTGTTGGTATCAACAAGCAGTTACTCATAGTGTTTGTGAATTCAGTTACATGTGGGTCCTGTGAGTAGTAAGTGGTCTTTGTTCTTGTGTGCATCAGTTATCATGCTTCCAAGTATTTCACTACAACGGCTAATATTTGACTGTGGTACTCTGTAGATGTTTATCACTGTGAGAGGTTTTTGTAGGTATTTTGTTTGAGTTTAGCTATTATATATTCTCCATGTCATCCCTTGTGCATGTATTATTGATACATTCTAGATGGCCTGAGTAGTATATAGCTGTGCCACCCCCTTGTTGGTCTGGACAGCAGTTGTGTATGGCTGTGTAACCAGGAATGGCATAGACATTTGTAGTGTCTGGCTTTAGCCAGGTTTCAGAGTAATGATGGACATACTGGCATGCAGGGGAATTTAGTAATGCTGTGAGGTCATCGTAATGTTTGCTTAGAGATCTGACATTGTGGGTAAAGACAGTTATGTTGTTGTTGGCTCTGAGAAGTGTCTTTGCTTGTTCTGCTGTATAGCAATTACAGTTGCTGTTAGATTCATTTGAGTCATTTAGTGAAAGGTTGGTATCAGGATCAATGCTTGTAACCATAAGATTTATACTTAATCTATAACTAGATTTAAGAATAAGACAATGTAAATATATTAAAGCTAAAAACGAAGGAGCTAGGGAATATCTAATGCACGCTGGTCATATAGAGTATATTCACTAATAAACATAATAAAATTTAATGTTGTCTATGTATTGCGCTAGAATAAACTAAAGTACAACTAGGTATAATCAAATAATATAAAATAAAAATTAAAAATAGCACCAGATTCTCACTTGTAATTTCACTAAGTCGTTTTCATGAACTAAAGTGTAACTAGATATAAATTGATAAAGATAAAATCACAAATTAAGGTAACACAAGTATAATAAATGGCAATGATTTGGTTGTACTATGATAGTAAGATGGTAAACAGGATAACAAAAAAGTTGGAGTTGAATATACAAGCTTGAAAAAAAATTGGCAACAATAGGTTAAGGAAAGTATAAAATAAAGTTGGGTTATAAAGTCTAAAAATAAAATAGGGTAATAATAAAATGTTTAAAATAAGATTGGGCAATAAAGTATAAAGTAAAATTGGGCAAGTATAAAATTGGGTAATAATAAATAGGACAATGAAATGGTAAGTTGCAAATATTTTATGAGGTATAATGAAAAAAAATAATACTTATAAAGAGAGAGATTTGGTAGATATTAACACAATTAAGACTATGAGGTAGAATGGTCATTGAATACAAAAGTTACATTCAAAAGTAATTGGGGTATTGGAAATTCTTAGGGAACAAATTTTATGGCAGTATATAACTGTTTCAGGCAATTCATAACACTAAATGAGGACATAGGGTATAAGGAGCACTTTATTCTTATTCTGTTAGTCCAGCCTCACTCAGGAATGTTTTAAGGTCGTATTCCGTAGAGATGAAGTATCTCTTCCCAGTGGGCTGTTTCCTAACTGCGATTTTTCCGTCCCTCAAAAAGCACTGATGGATTTGTTGGGCATGGCGTAATTTTCGTAGCCGATAAAGGAGGCTTTGTCTTGTTTTAGTAAGGCACTCATTGACGTATACATCAGTTTTCATAGACATGGATGTTTTTGGTAAATTGTTTCTTTGTAGGCTGGTTTTGAATTTTAATAGCACTGTTTTTTACCCGCTTGGTAGCCCATTAGTTTGCAGTCTTTTAGTTCATCACTACTTATGTTGAGGCGAAGGTGGTCCTTGATAAGCTGTAGGGTGGTCTCCATGCAAGTCTCTTGGGTGACTGTGGGTGGAAGATGTTTGCTATTAACTACAACAGCGTCAGAGAGCTGTTGTTGTTCATTATGGTCTTGGAAGTTGGTAATGACATTGGCAAGTTGTTGATCCACTTTTGATCTTTCTTCTATAATGTTGGTAGTAAGCTGGGTGAATTGGTCTTTAAGGGAGTTGATGGTATCCACGGACTGGGTGTGAGTGTTGCTTTGCTGTTTCAGAGTCTAGTTTATGTTCTAGAGCAGGGATCTTGCTGAGGTACTGTGCATTGGAGGTTTTAAGTTCCTGCATTTCCTGAGTTAGATTGGTGATTGTTTGGTTCTGGATCATAAGCAGTTTAGCTATTTCCGGGTCGGTAATCTTCTTGACATCAAATCCATAGAAGGAGTTGTCTTGGACTGTGGTGGCGGCCATATTTGTTGTTGTCTGTCGTGTGTTGTGGTCATGCAGGTTGGTGATGAGGGTTGTGTCCTGGCTGAGACAAGACATTGTCATTGAACATGTCGCATGCACGGCCTGCAACAGCTTTGTCAGGGTGATGCTCCTTCCAAAAATTTTCCACCCTAGTCCACATTGCACACATCTCCATAATCTCTGAAGAAAGCAACTTCTTCCCTCTCTCTTCCTTTTCTTCTGAAGCAATTTCCTTAGCTATGGTCTGTTGTTGCAGATTAAGGTCTAACAGCTCTTCAGTGGTTAGCTCTTCATTGTGGTTCTCGACCAACTCTTCCACATCCTCACCACTAACCTCCAACCCCTTGGACTTTCCCAATACCACAATAGATTCCACAGCTGGCATAGGGTCCTCAGGGTCAGCCTCAAACTCGGTCCTCAGGGTCAGCCTCAAACTCTTCAAAATCTTTGTCGAGTACAAATTCTGGCCGCAATTTTGTCCAAGCAGATTTCATCGTCCTGGAAGTCACTCCCTGCCAAGCCTTACCTATAAGGTTTATGCAATGGAGGATACTGAAGTGATCTTCCCAGAACTCTCTTAGGGTCAATTCAGACTCCGAGGTTATGTTAAAGTACCTTTGAAACATTGCTTTGGTGTAGAGTTTTTTGAAGTTTGAAATGATCAACTGGTCCATGGGCTGGGGTAGAGGAGTTTTATTAGGGGGCAAGAACTTCACTGTGATGAAATTAAACTCCGTCACCATTTGCTCTTCCAAGTCTGGAGGATGAACAGGAGCATTGTCCATTACCAGGAGGCACATGAGTTCCAATTTATTTCCAGGAGGTATTTCTTCACACTGGGGCCAAGCACTTTATTGAACCAATCAAGGAAAATGTCCCTCGTGACTCATGCCTTACTGTTAGCCTTCCATATCACACACAAATTAGCCTTTGCGACACAGTTTATCTTGAACACTCTTGGATTTTCTGAGTGATACATTAGTAAAGGCTTCACTTAGAAATCCCCACTAGCATTACCACACAACATGAGAGTTAGTCTGTCTTTCATATGCTTGTGTCCTGGGAGTGCCTTTTCCTCCTGCGTGATGTAGGTCCTCTTTGGCATTTTCTTCCAAAAGAGGCCTGTTTCGTCACAATTGAACACTTGTTGGGGGACGAATCCTCCAGCCTCTACATAGTCCTTGAATTCAATTACGAATTTTTCAGCTGCATGTTTGTCTGAACTGGCAGCCTCATCATGCCGTACAACATTGTGTATGCCACTTCGCTTCTTGAAATTTTCGAATCAGCCTTTGCTGGCCTTGAATTCACCTACATCAGCACTCGTTCCAGACCTTTTCTTTACGAGATCGTCATGCAACTGCCTTGCCTTTTCGCAGATTATCGACTGCGTAACACTATCTCCTGCTAATTCTTTTTGTTTGATCCACACCAGCAACAACTTCTCAACATTGATTATTTGCGATCTCTTTTTCGTTAGCATATTCACCCCTTTCACAACATTAGCTTCCTTGATTTCCTTTTTTTTCGCCACGATCCTGGAGAGCTCCGCCACACGCACTCACTTTCATATTTTTCTATGATCTCTTCCTTTACTTCAATTGTGTTTCTCACTTTCTTTACCAAAGGGCTGGTATTAGGAGCTTTCTTTGTGCCCATGGTGGCTTATTTAGCAGTTGCAAGCACTAAAACAAATGAAATATATTGAAAAATGTATGTGAACCCGTGAGTGATCGTCACTCGCCGAGATACAATGCCAGACTGACATTGCATGGTGTTTGTGTGCCCTAGGCGGCTGGGAGGCCGCTCGGACACGTTTCATATGACCGCCGATTTCTAAACCAAATCACAAAATCAAGCCAATATGTTGACGAGGAAAGTCGCCGATTTCCAAAATTTACGATATTCAAGGATTACGAAATTCAAGGGCCCACTGTATATCACAAAGTCACTTGTATGCTCAGAACAACTAAATGCCTCTAATGATGCAGTTAAAGTTTTAGCAGTAGAGATCGAGAACGAAAATCTGGTCATTGTGGTTGTATACAAGCCTCTGGATGCAATGTCTCATCAATTCCAGGAACAGCTTGAAAATTGAGCACTGTCTGGAAAAATCTTCCAGTTCCTGCCCCAACATCCAGGGTGATTTCAACCTACGACACCTAAAATGGAGGAATATAACAAATAATATTGTAGCACAGATAACACCAGGAGGCAGCTCAGATGAAAACTCGCAAACACACGAGCTTTTAAATCTCTGCCACCAAATTCACCTTAATCCAGCAATTAATAGAGCCTACTAGATTGGAGAATACACT